CCTCCCTCTCTCTATCTCACTCTCTCTCTGTTTTTTTTTTGTGTGTGTGTGTGTGTGTCACACCTGGTGGTACTCAGGGTATACTCTTGGCTCTGTGCTCAGGAATCACTCCTCGCAAGCTCAGGGGGACCTTATGGGGTTTCTGGAATCAAACCTGGGTTTGGCTGTATAGAAGGCAAATTTCCTTCCCACTGTACCCCCTGACCCAGTCACGTTCTTTCTTGAACACTTATCACTTTGTCTGTCTCCTCACACTTTTCTAAGTAAATTTTTTAAAATAAAACTATTTGGTTATATATATCTTCAAAATTTGTCATAAAAGAAAAAATATAAGCATAAGGGAATTAGAAAATGTTATTAATTAACTAATGCCCCATGGCAACAAACATGAGTTTTCAGGCAAATGCTTTGAAAATGTTTCCAGGAAAATTTTAAGGAACCAGTAACTTTAGTGCTATTTAGAATAGAGTAAAAAATTCAAAGATACATTTTTTATGTAGTGAGTTCAATATTGATATGGAAACCTAACAAAAATTTTATAGAAATCATGACTGGAGAGATAGTACAGGAATTGAGGGATTTTCTTACGTCTGGCTCAAATCCCCTGCATCTCATGTGGTTTTCTGAGCTCCAACAGGGTAAACAGAGCCAGGAATAGCCCTGAGCACCACCAGGTGTGACCACTCCCTCAAAGATAAAATAAAATCATAGCCCAACCACACCTATGAATATTGATGTAAAATTCCGTAATAAAAGAAACATATTTTAAAGTCAGGAAACAGACAATAGTAGGAATTGTTACCATCATTATTTCACAAGGTATTGGAAACACTAGGTAACATAATTAAATAAGATGGAAAAAATCAGAGGCATAAAAACTTGAAAGTAAGAAATAAAATTATTGTTTTTGAAGATATTATTTACCTAAAAAAATCCAAGACATTCAGCTAGAAATCTATTGCAATCAATTAAATTTATTTAGAAAGCTTAGTACAGAGTTAACATTAGGAAATTAATAATCTAATTACATTGAGACAATAGTCACTTTTAAAATGTGATGGAAGAAAGGCCTTATGTACAATAGGAACATAAAAATAAATTGTCCAGAACAAATTTGAAAGGAAATTGTGCAAGAACTATGTAGAGGAAACTTCCAAATGCCAATGAGGAATTTTAAATAAATGGGGGAAAATTTCTTGGAGAGGACTATTTGACAGTATAAAACATCAACTTTCCATAAATTAAATATAAGTTATTCCTCTTATATGTAAGCATAAGATGGTAACAGTAAAAATAATTTCAGAATATTCTTTCAAAATTAGATAAGCTGATTATAGTTTGTCAGAAAAATATGAAAAATTGTAGATATAAGGGTATATGTTAACATCCTGTTGCTGCATGACAAGTTACCACAAGTTGAACAACACTTGGCTATTGAGGAGAGACAGACATCTAGGCACTGGGACAGATTCTTGGCTCACAGTCTAGGAGGCTGGCATCTAGGTCTCATTCAGACCCATTCCATTCACACCATTGGCTGAGTTGAGTTCTACTGGTTGTAGGATTAAAGACCCCAGTTTCTCATTTGTTAGGGGGCAGGATATGGACCATACCTGGTGGTGCTCAGGGCTTACTCCTGGCTTTATGCTCAGAGATCATTCCTTGTTGTGCTTGAGGGAACATATGTGGTTTGGGGGGATTGAATATGGGGTTGGAAAGTAACTAAACTCCCTGCACTAAGTTCTTTCTGGCCCAAGGACTCATTCTTACCCAAATGTTAGTCAGAGTTCATTGGTCCTAGAAACCTCTCTTCTCACAGACCACACATTCCCCCCATCCTCCAAGCAAGTAATAGAGAATCTTCTTCATGTTGACTCTCTTTTCCATGTGGAGTTTGTTTCTAGGAAAATCCCAGCTCTACGCAGGTCTCACCTGATTATTTGATCATGCCTCTCTGAAGTAATCTCTCCAACTTAAATTCAGCTGTGCCAAATAATATGACCTTATTATGGGGTGATCATAATTTCACTTACAAATTCCAGGGACTGTAAAGAGATACAAAACTAGGCTGCAGGGATTTTGGAAGCCAACCTATCATTCTGCCTACCACAGAAGCTGAGGAAGCTTTAGGAAATAAAAAAGTGTTATTTTAGATAGTAAGTAGATAAATTCTTTTTTAAAAATTTTTTAATTGAATCACTGTGAGGTACAGTTACAGACTTAAAAACTTTTGTGCTTATGTTTCAGTCATACAATGATCAAGTACCCACCCCTGCACCAGTGCCCATTCTCCACTACCAATGGTCCCAGCATCCCTCCTATCCCAACCCATTCCCCCACCCCCTGCCCCCCACCTCTGTGGCAGGTGCATTCCCTTTCACTCTCTCTCTCCTTTAGGGTATTGTGGTTTGCAATGCAGGTATTAAGTGGCTATCATGTTCAGTCTATAGCCTACTTTCAGTATGCATCTCCCATCCTGAGTGGGCCCTCCAAGCACCCTTTACTTTGTGGTCCCTTCTCTATCTGAGCTGCATTTACCCCCAGCGTGTGAGGCCGGCTTCCAAGCCGTGGAACAATCCTCCTGGTCCTTATCTCTACTATCCTTGGGTGTTAGTCTCCCATTTTGTTACTTTATATTCCACAAATGAGTGCAGTCCTTTTATGTCTGTCCCTCTCTTTCTGACTCATTTCACCTAGCATGATACTCTCCATGTTGATCCACTTATATGCAAATTTCATGACTTCATCTTTTCTAACAGCTGCATAGTATTCCATTGTGTAGATGTACCAGAGTTTCATTAACCAGTCATCTGTTCTCAGGCATTTGGGCTTTTTCTAGATCCTGACTATTGTAAACAGTGCTGCAATTAACATAAAAATACAGATGTCATTTCTATTGTACTTTTTTGCATCTTCAGGATATATTCCTAAAAGTGGTATTGCTGGGTCAAATGGGAGCTCAATTTCTAATTTTTTGAGAACTGTCCATACTGTTTTCCAAAAAGGCTGAACCAGTCGGCATTCCCACCAGCAGTGAAGGAGAGAGAGTCTCTTTCTCCCCACATCCACACCAACACCAGTAGCTTTTGTTCTTTTGGATGTGGGCCAGTCTCTGTGGTTTGAGATGATATCTCATTGTTGTCTTGATCTGCATCTCCCTGATGATTAGTGATGAAGAGTATTTTAAAAATTTTTTATTTTTTTAATTTTATTGAATCACCATGAGATAGTTACAAGCTTTCATGTTTGGGTTACAATCATACAATGATCAAACAACCATCCCTCCACCAGTGCACATTCCCCACCACCAATAATCCCGGTTATGACCCCCTTTCCCACCCTCCCCCTGCCTCCATGGCAGACAATATTCCCCATACTCTCTCTCTACTTTTGGGCATTATGGTCTGTAATGCAGATACTGAGAGGTTATCATGTTTGGTCCATTATCTACTTTCAGCACACATCTCCCATCCCAACCGGTTCCTCAAGTCATCATTTTTTCAGTGATCCCTTCTCTATTCCAGCTGCCTTCTCCCCTTTGCCCATGAGGCAGGCTTCCAGGTATGGAGCAATATTCCTGTCCTGTGTATCTACTATTCTTAGGTATCAGTTTCATGTTATGTTGCTTTATGCTCCACAGATGAGTGTAGTCCTTCTATGTATGTCCGTCTCTTTTTGACTCATTTTACATAGCATGATACTCTCCATGTCTATCCATTTATAAGCAAATTTCATGACTTCATCTCTCCTAACAGCTGCATAGTATTCCATTGTGTAGATGTACCAAAGTTTCTTTAACCAGTCATCTGTTCTAGGGAACTTGGGTTGTTTCCAGATTTTTGGCTATTGTGAACAGTGCTGCAATGAACATATATTGAAGAGCATTTTCATGTGCCTTTTGGCCATTTGTGTTTCTTTTCTGAGGAAACTTCTGTTCACTTCTTCCCATTTTTTTGATGGGGTTGGAGGTTTTTTTCTTGTATAATTCTAGTAGATTAATTCTTATCTGTAAATATTAGATCAATAAATATATATGAATTGAAAGACCAGGAATAAATCCCAAAGTATATGGATACACAGACTATGAAAAAGGAAATTTTCAGGCTCCTGGTGATAATTCAACTGTTTTCTAGGTATTATTAGAAGAAGTTGGAGGGCAAGTAGAAAATATGGGTCTGTATAAGTTATATAAAGTATTGCTAACTGCTCTAACAAGTATATCCCCCAGTTCTCAGTATTTAACAGAACAAAGGTTTATGATTGCACAATGTTCTTCATGGTCATTAAAATAACTTTCCCCCCTTTTTCTTTAACAAAATCCTGTTAAATTTGTATTAAAAATAATACAAATGTCTCAGGTTTCATTGTTTTGGGGTTTGGGGCTACACTTAGAGGTGCTCAGAGGCTGCTCTGGGCAGTGCTCAGGGGACCATGTAGTGCTGGGTATCAAATCCAGACCTTCAAAACATGTTCTTCCAGACTGTTAAGCTGTATCTCCAGTCCCCAGCAGTCGCACTTTCATGACTTACATTGATTTCTGCTGCTCAGCACTGTTCTAGCTCTTAAGAGTCTTCATCATGGTGAATAGATTGGCAGATAGAAATGAGAATGCAAAGAGGGTTACATTGCTTTCCCTTTCAGTCCATTGGTCAGAACTCATTATATGCCTATACCTAGAGAGGAAAGGAAAATGATTTTGGCTGATCCTGTCCACAAATCCCTGATTCACAGCTTATGGCAACATAATAAAAGAGGGAGGGAAGGGAAGGAAGAGAAGAAGGGAAGGAAGGGAAGGGAATGAAAGGGAAGGAAAGGAAAAGAGAGAAAAAGGAAGGAAGGAGGGAGGGAGGGAGGGAGGGAGGGAGGGAGGGAGGGAGGAAGAAAGGAAGGAAGGAAGGAACGAAGGAAGGAAGGAAGACAAGAAGACAGGAAGATAGGAAGATAGGAAAATAGGAAGATAGGAAGATAGATGGGCAATTTTTTTTTAGTTTTGAAAAATACTAATGATCAATTTTGCAGTAGATACACTAAAATTGGAATGATACTGAGATTAGCAGTGCCCCTACACAAGGATGACAAGCAAAGTTATGAAGTATTCTATTTTTTTTTTTTGCAGATTTTTTAGAAGTTTTTATAATCTCAAAGATTTCCTTTCGAAGTATGACTCAAAAGGCAAAGCTCTAAATGAAAGAGAATGATAAATATAACTTATTTAAATTTTTTTTCCTGATAAAACATCCTAAGACAAGTCAAAGTCTAACTGGGAAAGATCTAGCAGATTAATATCCAAATGAAGTATAATGAACTCTCTCTCTCTTTTTTTTTTTTTTTTGCTTTTTGGGTCACACCCAGCAATACACAGGGGTTACTTCTGGCTCATGCACTGAGGAATTATTCCTGGCTGTGCTTCAGGGACCATACGGGATGCTGGAAATCGAACCTGGGTCGGGCCGCATGCAAGGCAAACGCCCTACCCACTGTGCTATCATTCCAGCCCCTAATGAACTCTCTTTTGTTTGTTTGTTTGTTTTGGGGGGGGGAGCCACACCTGGCAGTGCTCAGTGTTTACTCCTGGTTTTATGCTCAGGTATCACTCCTGGCTGGGAAGACCATATGTTGTGCTGAGAATGAAGTAAAAAAAGTATAAAGAACTCTTACAGATCGATTTTAAAAGGCTAAAATACTCAATGGAATAATGAGCAAAGATGTGAATAGACAGTTCACAGAAAGAACGAAATGGGTCTTAAAAGTATGAAGAGATTCTTAAATTCACTTATAATAAGAGAAATGCAAAACTACAGTTTTAACTTGTCAGACAGGAAGGATAAAAAGAATGATAGAATATTATGTTGGCAAGATTTAAGGTCATGCTGGTGTCAGAATAAATTGGTTTAACCTCTGTGGAAAGCAATTCAGCAAAGCTAGGAAATTCTTCCTTTCAATCCAGAAAGTCTACTTCTAGCAATTCACTTAAATGAATTTCTAGATAAACTTGTACATAAATGAAAAAAACAATATATAATAGTCATGAGAAAAGATTGTACATACTTCATTATTCATCAGTATAAAATATAGAATGATAAAAAGAATGAGACATGATATATACAGTCACAGAATTAGAGTCAAGATGCAATCTTAAACAACAAAAGCAATGTAAAAATAATGTGCTCTATGGTATGGAAGAGTGAACACAGAGCATCATATCCAGGAGATAAATGGAAATTTACATAGTAAAAACAGGAAGATCTGAGAACAACTTTCTATTTAAAACATTAGATTTTTTGGTGCTGTTTGAATGTTGATGGTGTTCATGTAATTTTCGTTCAAGAAAAGTAAATAATATGTTTTTAAATTTTGTAAGCAAGATGTCATTTGTGTTCTTTGACAAACTCCCAAATGAGATTAGATATGCTAAGTGATTTACTGGGGAGAGTGGGGTAAGAGCCAAAGGCAGCAGGAGAGGCCTCAGATGATGCTGATTCCAAGGGGAGAGAAGGTCTAACAAAGTCACTGGGGCTGGGAGGATTGTGCAAGACAAGAGCACATTCCCCTAGCATTTACAGGACCCCAAGTTTGGTACCCAGTACTGTATCTCCCCAGAACTGCATCCCCCTACCACTACCTGATCCCCAACCCAACACCATTTCATGTGGCCCTGGTGGCCCTAGTGAACCCCAGTACTTCCAGGAACCCAACCTGCAGGCCCACAACCACTGGAGTAAGTCCCTTCAGGGATTACCCCTACTGAAAAATGAAACAAATACAACCTACCATCAGCTGTTTGAGTAGCCTAGCTCTTCTAGGATGGCCATAACTTACGTTCCTTGCTGCCCCATCACTCTTGACCAATTGTGCCCCCTGCAGTAGATCTTGTGGCCAAAGAGCCTGGCCTACCCATCATTTCCTTGACTAAAGTTTGCAAATACTACTGGGAATGTCAACCTTGATTCTATAGTTGTATAGTTGGAGTGACTTATTTTTTTTTTGCTTTTGTTTTAAAATACTAACGTTTTCTTTAACTATCCATTTGTTTTTTCATTCTTCCAACCAATTTCTATTAAATATTTACCATATGCTATGCATTGAACCAAATGATGGGGGAGTAAGTGAGCAAAACAGACATAAGAGAGAGGCTGAACATTCTTCATCTCTCTCTTCATTCGCTAATTCATTTCCAGTTCCATACTTGGTAGGCATGATGGTTTGCTTGAGCAGGCTGCCATGAATCCAGTGATCTGATAGCATGCCATCTGCAACTGAAATAACCATTGTTTGGGGGAAAGGATGCAAAAAATCATATGGGCATCCAGCACCAGTCTGGGAGAATGGGGAAATCTCCCCTAAAGAAGACATTCAGGGATGAGGCTTTTAAGTTTTAATACACAGCATACTATATATTATTTATTCCATATTGTTAGAATTTAGGTTATTAAAAACTTCAGCATTATGTATTATAAGGAACATAGCAGTACACACAACACTGTTTGAATCACAGTCTTTTTTTGGAATTGCTGGATTAAACTGAACAAAGATTTTTAAGGCTCTTGAACCATTTAATAAAATTACTTAGAGGAAGACACTGCACTGCCAGCAGCCCAGAGAATGTATGTCCCACTGAGTCTTTGGCAACAATGATCCTTGTAATTTGTTCTAAATTTGCTAATTTGGTTTTCCAGATTTGGCATTGCCTTCTTATTTTTGCAAACTCCTCCTCACATTCCAGAGAGGCTGAACATTCTTCATCTCTCTCTTCATTCGCTAATTCATTTCCAGTTTTAAACAACTGATTTTTTTTTCTCATAAAGTGAGCCAGTGGTACCCCTTGCATTGAAAGCGGTTAAGATTAGGCTTGACATTTCTGTTTACTTTCATAAGCCAACACAATTTGCCTTCGCATTCTCCAGCAACTGTTGAGCTTTGCTCAATGAGCGATGCTGTGCCGGGGAGCACATGAGATAAACCAAGATGTGGATGACACTCGCAGGAAGTTTAAGAATGTGGAGGAGAAAAGCAGGCTTAGGCACAGTTGACTGATCTGCCAGGCTGAGTACACAAAGATGTGATGGGGAGTCAGTGGGCCCAGACAACAGAGTGAGGCTCCAGCTGACTCACTCTAGAGTGACCGGTTTCATGAAGGAAGTCAGATCTGAGGATTCAGCAGCATCTGAACAAATCGAATAGGATACAAGGAGCACCCAGGCTGAGGCTCTGGTAGAAACAGTGGGGGTGGGAAAAACAAACAAACAAACAAACAAAAACCCCAATGGGAGTGGAAAATCCCTCTGGACTTTTCAGGGGAAAATGAGGTGAGTTTGATGAAAAGCAGAGACAGAGGAAGTGGGAAGGGCTGCTGAGCCCATGTGACAGCAGGGTTGAAGTTTTCTCCTAAAGCTTTATTTTCTAGATCTGAGGGGTCATTGAAGCATTCAAGAAGTTCTTTTTCCATGTGAGAAAAGAAATTCTGAAACTGTTCCAAGTATTGCAAGGAGCAAGTTCTTAAGGAAGGGAAAAATGGAATGTGCTTGGCCCTTCTGCATCCCTTTCCATATGGGCATGTGCCCCTGGGTCCATGCTCATGGAAGATGCAAAGTGGAAAGGCATCATGGAATTATAATAGGATAAGTAAGGTATGATTGAGATAGAAGCTCACTTGAAATCCTGTCTCTCCTTCCCCTCCTTCTCTTCTCCTCCTTCTCTACTCTTTCCCTCCTTTTCCTCTCTTATCCTCTCTTCCCCTCCCTTGCTCTCCCTTCCTGTCCACTCCTTTCCTTCCCTCCCCTCTCCTCCCCTCCCTTCTTCTCTCGTCCCCTCTCTTCCCCTCCCCGCCCCTCCCCTCCCCTGTCCACTCCTTTCCTTCCCTCCCCTCCCCTCTCATCTCTTCCCCCCCTTCCCCTCTCCTTCCCTCCTCTCCTCTCCTCTCCTCTCCTCTCCTCTCCTCTCCTCTCCTCTCCTCTCCTCTCCTCTCCTCTCCTCTCCTCTCCTCTCCTCTCCTCTCCTTGATCAGGATGCCCTGTGGTCTCTGTCCTGGTGATTCATAACCAACCAGACAAATTGTTCAATGCTAGGGTCTAAGGACATAATACTGCTTGGGCCCTGTGGTGCTGGGATTACCTGGACCATGCTGGCAGTGCTCAAAGTAATGTTCTGGAGACTCTATGATGCTAAGGATTGAACCATGGTCAGCCGCATGCAAAGCATGTGCTTGAGGCCCTGTGCTATTCATTCCTTCTTTGCCTATTTCTTGTGTGTGTGTGTGTATGTGTGTGTGTGTGTGTGTGTATGTATATATATATATATGGCTTTTTCTTGGGGGTCAGGGATCGGAGTTACACCCAACAGTGCTCAGGATTTACTCCTGAGTCTGTGCTCACCAGTCACTCTTGGCAGTGCTTGGAGAGCATATGTGATGCTGGGGATTGAGTCTGGGTTGACCACATTCAAGGCAAGCACCTTACCCACTATGCTATCTTGCACTTTTTAACTTACTTCTTAATCCTTTCATCCACAGCATCTTTGCAATATCGGTTTTATTGACCATTTTTCCTGTGTCATAAATGAACATGATCACCAACATATGGACCTTCTTGTCATAAATAACCAAATAGTTCCAACTCAAAATAAAACAAAACAGAACAAAAAACCAAAAAATTAGGGTTGAGAGTTAGGGGACTTTCACTTCCTTATGGGTGTGTGTTCAGAGTGTTCTTGACTGGTTTATCCCTCACTGGTTGCCAACAAAAGGCAAGTTCAAATACTACCTCCAGTGGCCCCTGAGGCCCACTAGCAGCATGAGATCATCTTTGATTTCCCCAGAAACATGCCCAGTGAATGCAGGTACATCTCCACCATAGACCACTAAAGAACACACCTGTGATGGGGAAGGTTGGCCGTAATCTTTCTCTGTTGATTTCCAACTTAACTTTCTGCTGCATCTCTTGCACTCCTCTCCATTCTTCTACCAAACCTTTACTACACTTGCTCTCCACCCCCCTGCCTCTCCCTCTCTCCCTCTGTCCTTTCCATTACTTCTCTATTCTCAGTCACTCTGCTTCCTCTCCCTCCATCCCTCACACCCTGGTACAGCATTTACTTCAGGTTCTAGTGCTT